AATCTAGATAGGTCTTGCCCCTACCCTGAGCTACTTTTCTCCCCAAATAGGGTATTATCACTCTTTCTTAAGTTGATATTTATAAAGTACTTAGAATAGTACCTGACACATGGTATTAAGTAGAAGAAATAAATAACTATAAAAATAATGAAAAACAAAAACCTCAGCAGCATTTGGGAGGAAAATTCCAATAACTTTGGCATTATCCATAGCTCATGTGTGAAAGTACAGTAATTTTAGGACGTACCTTAGAGAAGATTTTAAACCAGATAAAAGTCAATATCGACGTTTAAAAAATACATTAAATTTACTTTACACAATTATTCATGTTTATTGTAGAAAATATATACAAATACAGATAAAAATTCCACTACCCAGAAACAACCATCTTAATGTTTTGTACTTTTTTCCAGAATTCCCTTTCTGTATATATACTGTACATATATAAGTATTTAAAAATATAAATGTGCAGGAGCTATGTTTTAAGATCTGCATTAATAGGTATACATGTTTTAAATAAATTTTGGGGGGGGGTCTCTTTTTCTCATTCATTCGAGGGTTTAATGAATCCCTACAAAGCACTTTAAATGATTGCTGTGTTGATAAGCACGTGACGGGCCCTGAGCTCTCTGCCCTTAGGTGTTTTTTTTTTTTTAATTTTTTTCTTTTTAAAGATTTTACTTATTTGACAGAGAGAGACACAGCAAGAGAGGGAACACAAGCAGGGGGAGTGGGAGAGGGAGAAGCAGACTCCCCGCTGAGCAGGAGCCTGATGCGGGGCTCGATCCCAGGACCCTGAGATCATGACCCGAGCCGAAGGCAGATGCCCAACGACTGAGGTACCCAGGCGCCCCTGCCCTTACGTGTTTTATGCTGTCTGGTCCTTGTAACAACTAAGAGTAGCTACTTGTCCATCCACATTACAGAGAACATTGATGTGAGGATCAGGCCAAGGAACTGAGCAAGGCCACACAGCTGGAATTCGAATCCACCGTGCTCTAAATCACTGGACTTCCATGTTAGATATCTCCATGGAGTAAGATAATAAATTATGTTGATAATATTAAGGGCAACATCTTCATAAAAAAGCCACATAAATCAATTATCATGAGCCACAACCTATATTCAACCCATTTCCTGCACTTTGGTCCTACTTTTGGTTCGACTTGCTGGCTGAGATTTCCAGGGCATGAACATTGAAAGATCTGCAGTTTTATCAGGTCCCCATTCTAATACCCTAACACAAGTCATTGTCCTTCTCTTGGTTTCTTTTTTATTGTCCGTAACAAGAGGGGATTGAGTCATGTTATTTATTCACCCACAATTTATTGAACATGTTTGAAAAGACAAGTTAGGCAGCTGTATAACAAAAGGAATAAGATATCCTCTCCTCAGTGAGCTCCCCTCACTGTAGTAGAATAAAGGCTGCTGGGCTTCAGTAAGCTGTGTGCTTGGACAGACATGCCAGCGAGCACAGGGTTGGTGGAGCCCAGGGAAAGGAGAAACCCCTCCTCCAGCCCTTCCAGCTCTGAATCTGACACTCTACAATGACTCACCTTGATTCAGGCCCTCTCTTCTCCATCCTTTTAAATGTAACTCACCTCAAGTTACATGTGTGTTTACTGAAGCTTTCAATATTTCAAAAATAAGGGTGTGTTGAAGCTTTCAAAATAAAGTAGGTTAGCTCAAACACTTTGATAATTGCCATGACAATGTAATGCCACCATTTGGCTTCTTCTTTGAGGGCAGGATAAAAGCTTTAAATGTGTTTTTGCGTTAGTTTATTAGAGGTTAAGAAGTGATTTGGACTTGGGCGCCTGGGTGGCTCAGATGGTTAAGCGTCTGCCTTCGGCTCAGGTCATGATCTCAGGGTCCTGGGATCGAGTCTCGCATCGGGGTCCCTGCTCCTTGGGAGCCTGCTTCTCCCTCTGCCTCTCTCTCTCACTCTCATGAATAAATAAATAAAATCTTAAAAAAAAAAAAAGAAGTGATTTGGACTTTACAAAATTAAGAAGTCCATCATTCATTCTCATTCCACTGAAAAATAAAGGCAAGGTATGTAAAGATGGAACTCACTCCATACAAAAATGGGTATTTGTGGTTTTTCTTTGTAAGTAATGCTGGAAGGTCTGGAGATAAATTGTTGGAAATAAAAACCACACACGTTATATTTCTTAGTAAAATATTTGTAAAGGAAAAAGTCCAAACCTTATTTTGTTAAAATAAATTAAAAGGGAGATTTCTAAAGAAATCTCTATAACCTATTTATTTTGTTTTATTTATGTGCTGTCTCATCCTACAAAGAGATCATCTATAACCTTGTTTTTTAGTCAAATAAAATTGTAAATCCTTATTGGTGTAGGAAGTAAAAATGTGCATGTTGAATTCTTAAATATTGCTGCCAAAATATTCATAACCTATTGATTTTAGGACATTTTACATCCCATGAGTTTCCAAGTATAGGCTTCAATACTTTGACAAATAAGGTAACCAAATTTTCATTTATTTAATGTAGAATTACTGCTAAAAAAGTAGTATGATTAATCCACAGTTATAGCATATTCAGTGGTGAAAACCTGAAAGCTTGTCCTCGAAGATCAGGAACAAGACAAAGATATCGTTCTACTCTCACTAGTTTTAGTCACTGGAAGTACTGGAAGTCCTAACCACAACAATACAATCAGAAAAGGCATCCAAATTGGTAATGAAGAAGTAAAACTGTCACTATTTGCAGAGGACATGATATTATACATAGAAAACCCTAAAGATTTCATTAAAAATATATTAGAATAAATGAATTCAGTAAAGTTTCAGATACAAAATAAACATACAGAAATCTGTTTCTCCACAGTAATAACAAAGTAGCAAACAAATAAAAAAATACTATTTACAATTGTATCAAAAAGAATAAAATGCGTAGGAATAAATTTAACGAAAGAGGTGAAAGACGTGTACTCTGAAAACTATAAGACACTGATGAAAGTAATTGAAGGCAACACACAAAAAAATGGAAAAATATACTATGCTCGTGGATTGGAATATTGTTAATATTGTTAAAATGTCCATACTACCCAAAGCCATCTACGGATTCAATGCAATCCCTATCAATACCAATAGTATTTCTCAGAGAACTAGAATACTTAAATTGATATGGAACCACCAAAGACCCCGAACAGCCAAAGCAATCTTGAGAAAGAACAAAGCTGGAGGTATCACAATCCCAGGTTTCAAGCTATACTACAAAGGTATGGTAATCAAACAGTATGGTATTGCCACAAAAATAGACACATAAATCAATGGAACAGAATAGAGAGCCCAGAAACAAACTCATACCATCAGTTAATCCATGACAAAGAAGGCAAGAATATACAATGGGGAAAAGACAGTCTCTTTATTTTTTTTATAGCCTTTTCTTTTTTATTATGTCATGTTAATCACCATACATTACATCATTAGTTTTTTTTAATATTTTTATTATTATGTTAATCCCCATACATTACATCATTGGTTTTTAGATGTAGTGTTCCATGATTCATTGTTTGTGCATAACACCCAGTGCTCCATGCAGAACGTGTCCTCTTTAATACCCATCATCAGGCTAACCCATCCTCCCACCCCCCTCCCCTCTAGAACCCTCAGTTTGTTTTTCAGAGTCCATCGTCTCTCATGGTTTGTCTCCCCCTCCGATTTCCCTCCTTCATTCTTCCCCTCCTGCTATCTTCTTTTTTGTTGTTGTTTTCTTAACATATATTGCATTATTTGTTTCAGAGGTACA